GAGGTCAGAGCGGGGGGCGCCGCGTCGTCTGATGCTGCGTCGGTGATGGAGGCAAAGGCTGCGGCGTGGAAGGCGCTGTGGACCCCGCAGGGTTTCGACGACAGTCGGGCGCTCAAGGTGTTTTCGCGCGCTCATCGTCTGGCCTTTCAGAACGAGCTGGAGCCTCTCACGCTGGGCCAGCTGGAGGAGGCGCTGCGCTGTGCGCCTCCACGCAAGGCGCGGGGCGTCGAGGCGGTCGGCCAGAGGGGCGCGGTGGCTGCCTGAGTCGGGCAGCAATGCTTTGCTCGCCTTGTTTCATCAGATTGGATCCAAGGTCGCATGGCCGCGGCAGTGGCAGACGGCCATCATCACGCTTCTTCGCAAACCTGATGTGCGCGAGGATCGTGCCATAGGTTTGCTCACCTGGCCTGGTCGCTTGTGGAGTCGCACGCGGTCTCGGCCTGCGGGGGCGCGGGCGTCGGCCCGCCTTGGCCCTTGGGGCGCCGCGGCCCGAGGCAACAGCGCTCTACGAGAGGCTTTGTTCAGGCGTTATGCTGACGAGGCGGCGCTTGCCTCCGTCTTGCCCGAGCATTGTTCTGCTTCATCGCTGCGGGGCGCGGAAGCGTTCTACGACGCCATTCGACGGGGGGGAGTTGTTGATCGCGCGACCGACCTGGATTTCCCCCCGCGCCCCCTGGCCCTGGAATGCATCCGTCCTCCACATGGGGCCGCGGCTGTTGCGTGATGAGGGGGTCTGTGCTCCTCCCATTCTTCCTCGCGGGGGGGCTCGTGGCGGGTACTCGTCGGGCCGCCGATTTCTCGAAATGCCAGATGTTTGAGATGCGCGAGCGTTCTTGCGCAAGCAGCGCGCTCACGCCCCTTCGCGCGCGACTCGATGACACCACCCTGCGCGCCGAAGGTTTGAAGCGTGATGCGATTCGCGATTGAATCGGGGCTGGGGCCGTTTTTGCCTCGGGCTGTGAACAAGAGGAACTCAAGATTGCTAGTGAGTCGGCCATTGCGGCGTCGGAGCTTTCGGTGGCGCGTGCTATCAAAGCGGGCTTAGGATCGAAAGGCACCCAGGTCGAGGTGGCCTCGGTTGCGGCGGATCTGGGCATCGAGAGGGGCACTGGCGTCGCTGTTGCCGAGACTCGTCACTCCGAGCGTTTTGGTCAGGCCACGGGAAGGGCTTGCCGAATTCATAAGCTGGCCGCCGTCGCTCCTCGCAAGATCGGGGCGCGTTTGATCCTCACTGGGGCTTTGCCGCAGGCGTCTACGCCTGGAAGGTCTATGGGGTCGCGCCCTCGGTCCTTCGGACATCGCGACGAGCGCTGGCTAGAAGCCTAACTCGCGGCGCGGCAGAGCGATGTCTCGCGACCCCGCTGGCCTCGGAAGTGCGGAGAAAAAAAAAGACAGTGCTTTCACTGCTGTGTTTCAGCTTCTGGACTCGCGGTTTCAGATTGTTGCTGCGCCGCCAGAGAAAGGAGTTGATCGCGCGCGTGTTTGCCGGCAGTCCACGGTTGAAAGAATCGACAGGTTGGGCCCCCAGCGTAGTTGCCACAATATAAAGGGACCCGTGTCTGCCGTGGTTGCCGCCATGGCGGCCTTGGGATGGAAGCTCGATGGGCCGTGTTCTCGGGTGTCTCCTGGGGGTGGCTCGTTTGCTGTGCCCGCTGAGCTTCGCTCCCAGGCTTATGCGACGTCGGACTTTGAGAAGGATGTTGACCGTGGCATTGACGCGCGTTTGTGGTCTGCTGCTGCCGAGTTCCGCAATGGGGGGGGTCCTGCTTCTGGCGCCGACCTTGCGGCCCCGTGGAGGCACCTCGCGTCCTTGCGGCGGAAATCTGTTCAGAAGAAGGGCCTGCTGCGGGCGGTGCTCACGGGGGCCCTTTGCGCGAGATCTCGAATTCAAGCGCGTGCGTGTGTGTGTGTGTGTGTGCGTGTGTGGGGGGGTCGTGGATTGGACTACCACCCCAGGCCGCTTCCGACCACCTGGTGGCACAACGCTGCACATCGCCTTCGCGGTGCTCCTCTTCCTCCTGGGCCTCCTCCACACCATCCGGTGGCACAACGTTGCTCATCGCCCTCATGGTGGTCTTCTCCCCCCTGGACGTCGACCTGGTCACGTTCCAGGTGCTCCTCTGCAGCGCTTGAGGCTGGTGTTTACGGAGTGCCATTGACGACAACACCGCATCGCTCACCCTCTGGATATTCGCCTCCGCTCCTGTCCACGGCGTACCTTTTCCTGTGTAAGCTCCTCGGCACCGCCTGCACCCCGGGCCCCGCCCTCTCCGGCCGCCTGAGGCCCCGCCCGCCTGTGCCCTGTCTCCCTAATTAGAGGTTCACTCTCGCCCCGCCGACCAACAATGTGTGTGTGTGGTGGTGGTGGGGGGGGGCGTGAGCTCACCTGCCTCCGATGTGGTCAGGCTCCTGAGACGGATGTCCACCGTTTCTGGGAGTGCCCGTGCACTGCCGAGTTTCAGCAGATCGATGAAGCGTTTGCCCGCAAGGCTGCATTTGTTGCTGCCGAGCTGTGCTTCTGGCTCCGCGGTTTCGTGCCCCGTTCTTGGACTTGCGTCCCTCCCCCTCCCGACGACCCGATCCTCTTTGCCGCAGGTGTGTTTCCTGGGCCTCTCGAGGGAACTCGCATCTGGGGCGTTGGGGATGCGGGTGGTGAGGAGTTCTCGGGGGAGAAGCGTCTGAGGCGGGTGTCTTGGGGCGTCGCGGTTTTTTGACCATGATGTTTTAATCCTGCACCCCCTCGTGTCGGATGCCGACACTAAGTTTTTGCAGGGGGGCGGGATCTCGGGTAAGCAGTCTGTGAATCGTGGTGAGATTTGGGCTCTGATGGTTTTCTTGGAATATGTTCCTGGCCAGGCTTGTCTAGGGTACATTGCGGACTCGGCGTATGTCGCCCGAGGTTTTGTGCGAGTCCCGGCGGGCCGTCAGAAGCAAACTCAGACCCATGTTGATAGTTGGTGATCTTTGGAGCTGTGTCAGGAGAGCTCTGGATCGGCTTGGTGCGATGGTTCTCATCCAGATTCCGAGCCGCCGCAAAGTTGAGGAAGCCACCAGCCGTGGGCTGAACCCAAGAGATGTGCTCGCGAACTCGGTGGCCGATGAAATCACCAGTCGTTTTGCGAAGCAGGTTCCGGTCCGTTATGCATTCTCAGCTCCTGTTCGTTTTGAGGACGGTCTGGCTCGGAAAGTGCAAGACCACCTTGTTGCTGTGATGCCAGATGTCTTGGAGCGTGAGGGCAGACGCTCTCCCCGCCCCCCCCCAAAAAGAAGCTGCGGAGGACGGCTCGACAGCTCCTGCGTTCGGCTGCAGCGAAGACCTCCCATCAATGTCCTTTGATTTGCGGAGACTTCGCGCGGTGTCAGAAATGCGGTTGCAAGTCATCCGCTCGGGATTCAAACCGCTTTTTGCATTCGCAGTGTGCTCCCATGGTCTGGTCTGGGTCGGTCTTTCGTCCGACGGCCTCCGTTTGTGTCAGGAGCCGTCTTGTGGACCCCTCTCATGCTCTGGCCTTCTGGCCCGAGGCCAATGTGCTGTGGTGTCTCATTTGTGGAGCGTATCCGGCCCAATTTCTCAAAGACCTTGGGAAGCAATGCTCTGGCCGCCTCGAGAAGGCGGGCTCGCAGAACCTTCAGAGGATTGCCCACGGCAAGGTCCCTGGGAGCCTTGCTTGGGGGAAGGAGCGGAAGGAGAGGGCTCGTGCGAGAGGGGAGGAGGGAGAGAGAGAGCGGCGAACGCGGCCCTGCGCGCGCGCGACGCGCGGTGCCTTTCGGCGACGGCGCGGTCGCGGCGGACGCGGCGGCCGTGGCCGCCGTCAGGCGCTGCCCTGTTTCTCTCCCCCCCCCCGCGCGCCAGCCTCCGATTCCTGTCGTCCCCCCGCCAACATAGGTGGCATAGGCTGCCTCCTAGGTTGGCCCCTTTCACTTGTCATTGATCATCGTGATCGCTCGCTAGATCCTCCTCCTCCTCCTCCTCCTCCTCCTCCTCCTCCTCCTCCTCCTCCTCCTCCTCCTCCTCCTCCTATTGCCAGAGCCCATCTTGCGCATCACACGATGAAACCACTCGGGAGATCCAAGTCCGCTGGGACATCCATCGGCGGATGCAAAAAGACACCGCAATGGGAAGAGGTGCGCGTGGGAGGGGTAGGATGTCAGATATGGCGCGCATGCGTGCCTGGGTTTCCCACCCTCCTATCCCTTGCCCCTCTACTCCTCCCCCAGAAGTCTTCCTCATTGTCCTCCTCGTCTTTCCACTCATCCTCCTCCTTTTCCTCCTCCTCTTCCTCCTCCTCTCCCTCCTCCTGCTCCTCCTCCTCCCCTTCCTCCTCCTCCTCCTCCTCCTCCTACTCCTCCTCCTCGGCCTCCCCCTCCTCCTCCTCCTGCCCAGAAGCATGGATCTTCGATCATCCCTCCACCTCCTCATCTTCCTCATCCTCGCCCCCCCTTCGTCTTCGGGCTACAGCTCGGTTCTCTGGCGGCCGTTCGAAACGATTCGGGCACCCCCAGAACGCTCTCGGCGAAGCGCAGCTGCCAGAAAACACATCGCGGCTGGAAAACCGCCGAGGGCCGACGAAAACGCCAGAAAAAACCGAACCCCGCATTCCTACTGTATCGAGCCCGCCTCGCCCGCTACGTCCACGAGCGAGTCCAGGAGGGGGCGACTGAGACGCCTCCTCCTCCTCCTCCTCCTCCTCCTCCTCCTCCTCCTCCTGCCCAGGAGCATGGATCCTCCTCCCTCCGCCACGTCTACGAGTCCACGAAGGCCACGCCCCCACCTCAACTACGAGGGCCCTCCTCCTCGTGGACCTCGTCCACGAGGAACTCGTGGACGAGGCACACGAGGACCACGGCCACGAGCCCACGAGCCCACGAGGGCCCTCTCATCCCCCCCCACCCCCGCCTCGTCCACGAGCGAGTCCAGGAGGGGGGCGGTCGAGACGCTCCCTAAAGGGAATGCGCAGCAACGGCGGCGTCATGCGGCGACTGGACGGCGGCCGGGGGTCCTCGGCGGCCCTCTCGAAGGACTCCGGGTCGTGCGAGAGCTTGCACTTCGGCCCCCACCTCCCCTGCCCTCAATGCAGTCCAGCAGCCTACCTCAGGTGGAGGAGGAGGAAGATGAGGAGGAAGATGAGGAGAAAGAAGAGGCATCTCTGGTGGTCCTCCTCTTCGTTCTCCTCCTTATCCTGCTCCTTCTCCTGCTCCTCCTCCTGCTCCTCCTCCTGCTCCTCCTCCTCCGCCTCCTCCTCCTATCCCTCCTCCTCCTTCTCCTCCTCCTGCTCCTCCTCCTCCTCCTCCTCCTCCTGCTCCTCCTCCTCCTTCTCCTCCTCCTCCTCCTGCTCCTCCTGCTCCTCCTCCTCCTCCTCCTCCTCCTCCTCCTCCTCCTCCTCCTCCTCCTCCTCTCTCTTCTCATCCTCATCCTGCCCCCACATCCGCTGCCCCTGGTGCAATCCAGCAGCTTGCCGCAGGAGCACAAGCAACATGAGGCCCAGCAGGTTCCGATCTCATCGGCATGCTGATGGCATCTTGAGCTGCGCGCAAGAAGTGGACGTGTGCTGAGGATAATCGGGGCGGGGATATAGCGTGCCGCGAATTGTTGTTAACAGTGGGATGGCATCACTGTGTATGTATGGTGTATGGGCGTGCTCTCGCTCGAAATTGGTGGTGTACGATGGCGGGAGCGCGAGCCCGATACGGATGCTAGGAGCAGACTCCTCCAGCAGCAGCAGGAGCAGGAGGAGGATGATCCAGCATATTCGTGCGACAAGAAGCCCCGCCACAGGAAAGCGAGGGACACACACGCACACGAACACACAAGCATACAAGCACACAACACACACACACACACACATAACACACAACACACACACAACATACACACACGCAAACACATACACACAAGCACACACACACACACGCACACGCACACGCACACGCACACGCACCCACACACACACACACGCACACGCACAAAAACCCACAAACACATACGCACGACTGCACACACACACACACACACACACACGCACACACACACACAAACACGCACGCGCATACACAACACATAAACACGCGCGCATTAACACACACACACGCATACACACACACGCACGCACGCACGCAGACACACACACACATCACACACGCCCACACACATACACGCAAACACACACACACACACACACGCACACATGCACACACGCACACACACACACGGCCACATACACACATGCACGCACATACACACATGCACGCACATACAAACAAACACACACACACACACACAGCACACAACACACACACGCACGCACGCACACACACACACACACACACACACGCACACACACACACACACATACGCACACACACACACACGCACACACACACACACACACACACATACCCACGCACGCACACACACACACACACACTCACACACACACACACACTTTTGGCGCCAGCGGCTAGGCAGAGTGCCTGCGCTGGCGGAAAAATCATATGTAGGGCATACAAATGCGAATTCGGCTGCGATGCACGCGAGTGGTGAGAAGGAAGGCCCGACGCGGGCGGGAGGGAGAGGAGGCCGGGCCCGCTCAGAGCGGAGCCAGGCGGCGGCGGGGGGGGGCGCCGGGGCCTGGGGCCAGCAGCAGCGCCGGGGCAGCAGCCGGGAGGGTAGCAGCCAAGGTGGCCGCCAGGGCAAGCTCCCACGGGGGGGAGCGACAGGTCCAGCGAGAGCTGGTGGCGGAAGCAGCACAGCGAGGTGGCCAGCGGTGCCGAGGTCAGAGTGACCTACGAGGCAACCTGGGGAGCAAGGGCGAAGGCAGCGGGCAGCGGGATCATAGGGTGCCGAGGTCACATGTGTCCTACGAGGCGCCCAGGGAGCGCGACAAGAGCGGGGCAACCCTCAAGCCGGCGGGGAAACGACGAACAGCGCGCGGGTGGGTCCGGGAAGCAGGGCCGCGACTGGGGTGAGAAGCTTATGTGGGGCACATGCTGACAGGCTGGTTTCTTATCGAATGTCTGTGCTGTAGAGGAGATGGACTTCCATTCGCTTCCTGACAACGAGCAAACGATGACAATATGTGTCTTCAAGGACGAATTTGGGATCACATGACCCACTCTCTCTCTCTCTCTTTCTCTGTCCCGCCCCTGGGGCACTTGCACTGCCCGCGGAAGAACATCGGGCAAGCCTGCCGGTTGTCGCCGCTCCGCTGGGCCTTCAGCAGCCCAGCCAGCTTCCCAGCGTCGTGCCCCACGCGCTTCAGGGCCACCTCCAGCCGCAGCTTCTCCGAGTCGGGCGCAGTGCCGATCTCCCGCTCCAGCGTCGCACAGGCCGCCTCGAACACGCCCGCGTCGTACGCGTTGAGCTCGACGAGGTCGCAGACGATGTCAAGGATCTCCCTCATGCCCAGCCTCCTCTTGGCGGCGGGCCCCTAACTTCGCCCGTGGCGCCCCGCGATGCGCGACGCGCGGTCATCCTCGCGCCCCCGCGACCTCGCGCCGCCCCCTTGGAGAGGGGCAGGCGTTCTGGCTCAGACCGTGATGCGCGAAGCGCGAAGATCTTCGCGCCCCCGCGGGTGACCCAGACCCCCAGGGGAAAGCAGACGGAGCGGGGCTTCTCAGAAAGGCTCAGAAGGCCTCCAGCTTTCCGAGAAGCTTGCCGAGCCTTCTCCGGGGGCACAGGCGACCTCTCCGAGGGCGCGAGGGCCTCCGCGAAGGTCCGCCGCCCTCTGAGAAGGCCTGCCCCTCTCGCTCCCCCCCCCCCCATGGGCTCGCCGCGGATCCTCTTCTCAAAGGCGCGCTTCAGCTCGGGGCTCAGGGCCTCGAAGAGGCCGCCGTCGAAGTAGCGCGAGCGCGACAGGGCGGCGGCCACCTCTGGAGTGCCGCCGGGAGGGGGGGGCTCTCTGGAGTGCCGCGGCTTCTCGGGGCCTGGCCTGGTACGACGGGGTCGGGCAGAGGATGGGCTGATGTAAGACAAGGCCAGGACAGTGACAAAATCGGACAGGGACACATCGGGGATCTCTGAGATTCGGCGTCTCTGGAAGATGTATCGGGCGCCGCGGCCTTCTCAGAGCGTTCTGGAACGCTCTGATGTATCCCTGTCCCAGCCCCGCCCGATGATGCCCGTGCACCCTGCCCCTGGGACATTCCCAGGCCACCTGACTTCGCGCCTCGCTCCGCGCGATGAGCGGCGCGCGATCAACTTCGCGCCATCGCGCCGCCCCCTTGGAGAAGGGCAGCCGCTCTGGCCCAGACGCGACGCGCGAAGCGCGATTATCGTCGGGCCCCCGCGGGCGACCTATCTCCTTTTCTACATCTTTATATGTAGAATCTGGGACCCTGCGATACCCTCCCCCCTAAGCGGACATCCCCGGATCCTGGGCCCCGGGGGCACCCTGGACGGACTTGCAGTCGGTCCAGGGTGCAGGAGGAGGAGGAGGAGGAGGAGGAGGAGGAGGAGGAGGAGGAGGAGGAGGAGGAGGAGGAGGAGGAGGAGGAGGAGGAGAGGAGGAGGAGGAGGAGGAGGAGGAGGAGGAGGAGGAGGTCTGGACCACTTCCCCAGGACTGGCTCTTCGTCCCACTGCTTTCCGCCACACTCCTGCAGCCCCGGCTGGGCCTGGGCAACGGGCCCCAATCGGTTAGGAGGGCGGCCGACCGGCCCCGCGAGAGCACACGGAGGCCCGAAAGACACCCACCAGACGCCCGAAGACGACCCAAAGAAGACCCCCAAGAGGCATCCGAAACGCAAAAACCATTGATTTCCAATGGTTTTTGTGTGCTTTGGGGAACGCTTTGTTCTTCAGTCTTCCGCGCGTCTGAGACCGCCCAGGACCCAGGAGGCCAGAGAGTCGCCCCAAATTCAAGGCGAGCAAAATTTAGCCAAGAGGGCCTCCGGGCAGTCCAAGAGGAGCCCCGAGACAGCCCAGCCCAGCAGGGCCCCACGATGGCCCGAAGAGAGCTCCATGACGGCCCAAGATGGTCCCTAGACGCCCCCCCGGGTCTCTCCAAATCGTGACCTGGACGTTCAGGGAGACCGCGGTTGGAAGCAGGGTGTCCCAGAGAAGCCCCCAGAGGCCCGCAGAAGAAACCCAGGAGGCCTCCAGAAGGCCCCAACAAGCCCTTGAAAACTTTCGCGAGGCCCCCAAGAAGCTCTCCTAGGATGAGCCTTCGCAAAAAGAACTGAGTATGGGTAGGGTGAGAAGGAGGAAGGAGAGAAAACATGAGGGAAGGATTACGACTAACATCATTACAACGGCGATGCCCCAAAAGGCGACAACGAGTTATCGCTAAATGTTCCGTTTTACCTATTTGCCCTCCTACCTGTATGCCAAGCCTCGAGGAAAATGCATTGCGCGAAGCGCCAACGCAGTCTTGTACACCCATTTATGTATGTATACCTGAGAATAATAATATGATAATAAAGATAACACGAGCAATTATAACAATATAGAAACATATAGATACTATTACCAGTACTAAGCATAAGAATAGCTCTTATTATACGACTTATACTTTTTAAGCGTATCTTTCACTATAATGATAGCAATCATCATCATTATCATCATCATCATCATCATCATCATCATCATCATCATCATCATCATCATCATCATCATCATCATCATCATCATCATCATCATCATCATCATTCAGGGCTCAGGGCCCGTGGCTCCCCCCTCCCCGATGGATAAGTCCCAGGGCGGGGGGACGACGACGACGACGACGACGACGATGACCTCCCGCTCCCTGGAGCACTGTTACACCACGCCACACCCACAGCGGGGCGACGACGACGGCTGCGGCGAAGAGGGCTCCACAGCCGTACCACCCAACATCCGCAGCAGGGGGGAGGCCTCATCGGGGTGGGGGGGGGGTCCGATCCCACGAGCAGTTGGGGGGAGGGCCTGGCCCTTGTCGGTGGTGACCTCCGCGATCCGGGCCACCTCGCTTCGCGCTTCGCGCCCCGCAGTGCGCGACGCGCGGCGACCCGCGCGTCCCGGGTCCCCGGGGAGCCGCCGCCCCCTGAAGTAACAAGAGCACCTCTGCGGCTCTGCGGCCTCAGCGGCCGCGGCCGCGAAGAAGGTCCGAAAAGCGGCATCGCCTTCGCGCCCCTGTGGGTGACCTGGCTCAATGGTGGGCCTCGCTTCCCAGTTATGCTCGTGCCGTGACAGAATCTGGGCGGGAAGTTTTGCGCCGTCTTTGGCCCTGGGAGCCCTCACTGGGCCCCGGGACCGTCAAAAAGCGACTCGGAATGAAACTCCCGTGCCAGGGCAAGGGTCAGACCTTACAGGAACCGCGCATCGAAAAAATCAGGATATTGCATGTCTGGGCTGGCATCTCCAAAGTAGGACGAGCGCCTTTTGGGGGCACCGATGCAATCCTCTGGCCAAGCCGATCCCCTAGTTCGCGCACCGCGATGCGCGACGCACGGTCACCTTCGGGCCCTCCCGAGGCCACCTTGGAGAAGGGCAGCCGCGATGCGGGACGCACAGCAAATCTTCGGGCATCGCGCCCCGCGAAGCGCCGTCTTCGCGCCGCTGGGGGACTAAGACAAGGCGAAGAACGGGACAAAATCGGACCAGGACAAAATGGGGGATCTCTGGAAATCTGGCGGCTCTATCCGCGATCCTTCCAAAGAGCTTCAGAACGTTCTGAGAGCGCTCAAGAACGCTTTGGAACGACTTATCCCGGTCCTGGCCTCGCCCGAAGAAACCTCCCAAACATCCTCCGTCGTGTTTTTTCCGATCGTGGCTCCCCAAAGGTCTGGACCCCTCCCCTTGGACCCGCTTTTCATCCTGAGTCGCTTTTGGACTGTCCCAAGACTCGGTCAGGGCCCCCAGAGGCTGAAACTTGTCTATAAGACCCTCGGGTGGGATTTTTCCACCACGAGGGGGTGTCATGGCTCTTCGAACTCGGATTCTGCGAGCCCACATGAGCCCACCGCCACCTCCCGGAGCTCGCGAGACCGCACGTCGCCACGTCTAAGGCGCTTCTCCAGCTCGGGAGCCAGCCGCGCCATCTGCGACAGGGTCTGCACCTGCTCGATGGGCACCGCGCGCTCCCCGCTGCGGCTGCGGCTTCGGCCTCTCGTGGAGCCCTGCGACCTGACCGGGGAGGCCTTTGAGGGGCAACGATAGGGAGGACCAGCTCAGGGTGCTAAACATGCACCTGGAATGGGCTATACATCACCGAAAGATCGGCGATGGGCTACCGATAGCGAATCGCTCGGACATCCATTCTCTGTGCATTGTTCGGTTTCGCGCGTGTGTTTTCCTCATGGTGGCCCAGGATGCTCCAAGATGGCCCATGTTTCCTGGCGCTGGCCTCGTCGAGAAAAATGCACACGTCCAAGCGATGCCGAGGTTCCTGGGCGAGGTGGGCTATCAAGCCCATGTCGGCGATAAATGGGCAATTGGAGGTCGACGCATTTCCCTGGAGCCTATCCCCCCCCGGCGTTACCCCTGAGCCTCTGACTTGCCGCCCTGGCTGGTCGGCCACGACCAGGGAGCTGTGCCCCAGACGATCTCTCGGCACGCTCCCAGGTCTCCGACGATAGGACTCTTGTCAGCTGGCGGGCCTTCCTTGGTTTTGGCCCTTGGGGGCTGGTCCGGAGCCGCGGGGCTGTGAAACGTGGGTCTGGGACGAAACACTAGCCCCGGGGAAGCGGTCGGGACCTCTGGGGCCGCGGATTGAAAAACAACAGATCGGCGGATCTCTGGATTTGTGGCTCTCCCAACGGGGCAGCGCAAGAAAGGAGATCGCCCCACATGGCGTTGGGGCGACATGCAGTTGCAGGATCAATGGGCAAGAGACGGCGCGATGTCGGTTGTCGAAGTCGATCGGTCTCCCATGGGAGGTTGCGCAAAGAATCACAGCTCCCCCAGTTGTGGCTGGGCTGCCTGAGGCTTCTCCTTCTCGTCCTCGCTGGAGTCCATCCAGGCGAACTCCTTTTCCTTTTTCTTCTTCGGCTCTGCCTCGGGGGGGGAGGCACCGACGTAGTCCCACACTCGCAGCGGTGCTGGCCAAGCCGATCCCCTGGGTCGCCTACCTTCGCGCATCGCGCCCCGCGATACGCGACGCACAGTTTCCTTCGCGCATCGCGCCCCGCGAAGCGCGATTAGCTTCGCGCCACTTGGGGTGATCTAGATCCCAGGCCCAGGGCTGGTGCTGGTATGAAGCAAACGGGTCCCGAGGGAAACGGGTCCTGAACCCTCGGACCTCCCCCCAGGACTAGCTTTTCACCCTGCTGGGTCTGTTTCTGACGGCCCCGCGCCCGGGGGAGGTGCGGAACACCTCAGGACCCGCCTCCATCCCCTGAGATCCGACAGTGCGAAAGAACTGCAAATTCGCAAAACAATGCGAGCCCTGGGCCACAATTTTCTGCGGCATTTTTCGAGCCGCATTGAGCTCTGATGGTCCCATATCCCGAAGCTGGGCGAAAACGCCCGGTGAAAGCGCCTGGATCTCAGGACCCGTTCCCCTCAAGACCCGCTTCCTTCGTGGCGACGGCGTGCACCCCCTCGCGGCCGCTCGAGGCTGGTCGGGCGCCTCTCCTCTGGTCCCTGTTCGTTTCGTTTTGCGTGTTCGTTTCGATTTCGATTTGGAGCTTTGTGCCACGAGACGGGCCCTTCCGATTGTCCAGCACAGTGTCTTGGCGCAAACCCGGCTCAGGGGGGGGGGCATTGGCCTGGAATGGGCGATACGTCTTCGATAGGTCGGCGGCAGGCCTTCGATAGCGAACCCGCACGCTGCTGGGCGGGATGGGCAATCGGGCCCCTATCGACGATCAGTGGGCGATTGGGGGCCGATGGATGCATCCCCCGCTGAGGCTCCATCCCCCCCCCCCGAGCGTTGTCCCTGAGGGAGCCGCTCCATCCCCGAGCGAGCTCTCCGCCGTCGGGGGCCTCCAGGCCCAGCTCCCCCACGCATTGAAAGATGCAGGTGCCAGGAATAGAAACCAACACCACATCTATCCTTTCTCCTCTCCTCGAGCCTCTTCTTCCGCCCCTCTTTCCTGGGAAAGGCGCGAGGGTGACGGAGGCAGTGGTGGTGTATATTTCTGGGCCCCGTGAAAAAAAACTCGGTGCGGGAGTCTTTTGCTCGCCCTGGTCGGCCTCCTGGGGCCTGGGGCCCCAGGCCCAGATCCCCAACACACTGGGCGGGAACTTGTGTGTTCGCTCTCGTCGGCCCCTCCAGGGCCCTCCCCAGACCCCGGGGCCGTCCACAAGCGACTCAGGGTGAAACGCTGGCCCTGGGTTGGGCGTGGGGACGATCGGCGGGGGGACGAAGAAACGTACACCTTTTTTGCCCCCAGGGGGGCCCCTATAGGAGCCCGAAGGTGCACGAAACGTGCACCTTTCTTCATCCCCCAATGATCGCCCCCCCAGAACGCAACGCCCGACTGGGGAAGCGGTTGGGACTTCACGGGACTCCGCATGGAACAACTCAAATCGTTTGTCTGCGGAGGCCGTCGATCTTGAGCCTGATTGCAGCAAGTTCGTGTCGTGACGGCGCAGGCGTGGGTTGTTGACACCGCGTGTATGTGCAGGGCAAAGAAGGTGGGTGGACACGGCGAAAACGAAGCCGCTGAGAGGGCGCCCCTGCAGGCTGCCACCGTTGAAGAAAAACGCACAAGCACCGGAGAGGAAGCCGGTGTTGAGCCAACAGACCTGGCCCGGCACAGAAACGGAAAGAGCGCTGCATCAACAGAAATCGAAATTACTCACACCACCGTTCGTACCGGGAGCCTTGGCGTTGAGAGCTGGTTACGTCACCCCTCGTTCTCGGGAGCCTTGGGGTTCAGAGATTGTTGCATTGCCGCCCGTTCCTGAGCCTTGGCTGGGCCTTGGTGTCAGGAACTTGTTGCGTCACCGCTCTCTGCTGGGAACCTTGGTCTTATCAGCTTGTTTACGTCACCATTCGTTCTTGGGAGGCTTGGTGTGAAGAGCTTTTTGCATTACCGATCGCTTTTGGTGTCTCTGGGCCGTCGTGGGAGTCCTATTGGAGCCCTTTTCGGGCCCTCCTGGTGGCCTCTTGGGGGCCTCTGGGGGGCATCTTGGGGCTTCTTGGGGGTCTGTGGGGGCCTCCTAGGAGCGTCTTTGGGCGAAAGGCTAGACTTTCGGCTTCGTGGTCCCCCTCTTGGGGCCGTCTTGGGGCCCTCTTGGGCCGTCTGGGGCGCCTCTCGTTGTGGAGCCCTCTTGGGCCGTTTTGGGGGCCTCTTGGGAGCCTCTTGGGCAGTCTTGGGGCGGTCTTGGGGGCCTCTTGGACCGTCGTCAACGCCGTGAAAGCCGAAAAGCGGTGCATGCTAAAAATGTACGTTTTCTCACAGAAAATCCATAATTTGGCCTCCTGTTGGCCTCGTGGGGCGCCTCTTGGGGGTCTCTTGGGCACTCTCGGGGCTTCTTAAGGGGGGCTGTGGGGGGCTCCCCGGAGCGTCTTGGGGCGAAAAACTAGACTTTTCGGTTCGTGGTCCCCCTCTTGCTCTTGGGGCCGTCTTGGGGCCCTCTTGGGCCGTCTTGGGCGCCTCTTGGGCCGTCGTGGAGCCCTCTTGGGGCCGTCTTGGGGCCCTCTTGGGCCGTCTGGGGCGCCTCTTGGGCCGTCGTGGAGCCCTCTTGGGCCGTTTTGGGGGCCTCTTGGGAGCCTCTTGGGCCGTCTTGGGGCGGTCTTGGGGGCCTCTTGGGCCGTCGTCAACGCCGTGAAAGGCGAAAAACCCGATATGCTAAAAATATATATGTTTTCCCATGGAAAATCAATGGTTTTGGCCTCTTGGGCCCTCTTGGGACGCCCCTTGGGCGCCTCTTGGGGGCCTCTTGGGACGTCTTGGGGCTGTTTTGGGCGGTCCTGGGCTGTTCTAGGACGGGAAAACATAGAAATCAGAAAAACATGCAATTACTCCGACGGAAGAACCCCACATAAGAATCCTCTGGGCGAATCTGGAAAAAGCCATCACCGTCGTCCTCGTGGTTGGTGAGGCGTCCTGGCTGTCTCTTCTGCGTATATTTCCTCTCGCCTTGGCGCGGGCCCCCCTTCCACTCCTTACGTTGTCCCCATCCTCGCCCCCCTGTTTGTTCCGCGCCCCGCCACCTCCTCCCCTTCCTGTTGCATGAGCGCGCATGTCGATGTTCCTCGGCGCCGTCGCCGCCACGGCCAGCACAGGCGCGTTCTCTACAGGTCACGTCGCGCAGCCGTTGGGACAACCCCGCGGGCCAGGCTGTCGGGACAACCCCGCGAGCCGTTGGCGCGCAAGACCAAGCCGTTGGGACAACCCCGCGGGCTTCGAGCGAGGCGCAGCCGCGCTCAGGCGGAAGGCAGCACGAAGCCCAGCTCTGCCGCGAGCTGCTTCGCCTCCGCCCTGGACAAAACCGTTCTCTTGTCGAACTCCAGGAGCGCCTTCCGCAGGGACGCCGGCGGCCCGCACTCCAGGAACTCTCGCGGCGGCGGCCGCAGGATCAGCATGTTCCGCATGCACGTGGCGCGGGAGAACATGACGTAGAGGTGCAGCCACCACTGCTCGTCCGACATGCCCGTGCGGCCAGCGTCCTCGTCTCTCGCGCAGTCGATGGTGACGCCCTTGCGCAGCGTCTGGCCCTGCGACAGCGTGGAGGTCAGGTAGGACGCGTGCGTCAGGGTGAACCCCGAGCGGCGCACGCTGTGCGCCCCCGAGCTCTGCCATGTGAACTCCCTTTCGCTGGGCCTGAACATCAGCAAGCTCCGCGCCCGCGCCTCGGCCTGGCCGTCGTCGTCGGCGCCTTCGGCGCCCTGTCGCAGCACCTCGGCGACCTGAGGAGCCCAAAAACTTCCTTGTTGCATCCAAAGTGTGGCCTGGGAACTGCGTTCTGGCAGCGCGAGAACCCAACATTGACGACAGTTACAGGTTTTGGATGACCTGCTCGGATTACCAACATGATCTGCGGGCCCCATAGGGAGGGGGCTCCCGCCTGAGACTTCCTCGCAGTTCACTCACAGACGAGGCTCCCGCCTGAGACTTCCTCCATATTCAGGCTTGAGGAGCCCAAAAGTGACGACAGTTACAGGGTTCCGATGACCCGCTCGGATTACCAACATGATCTGCGGGCCCCATAGGGAGGGGGCTCCCGCCTGAGACTTCTTCACAATTCACTCAAAGACGAGGCTCCCGCCAGAGACTTCCTCCAAATTCAGGCTTGACGAGCCCAAAAGTGACGACAGTTACAGGGTTCCGATGACCCGCTCGGATTACCAACATGATCTGCGGGCCCCATAGGGAGGGGGCTCCCGCCTGAGACTTCCTCGCAGTTCACTCACAGACGAGGCTCCCGCCTGAGACTTCCTCCATATTCAGGCTTGAGGAGCCCAAAAGTGACGACAGTTACAGGGTTCCGATGACCCGCTCGGATTACCAACATGATCTGCGGGCCCCATAGGGAGGGGGCTCCCGCCTGAGACTTCTTCACAATTCACTCAAAGACGAGGCTCCCGCCAGAGACTTCCTCCAAATTCAGGCTTGACGAGCCCAAAAGTGACGACAGTTACAGGGTTCCGATGACCCGCTCGGATTACCAACATGATCTGCGGGCCCCATAGGGAGGGGGCTCCCGCTTGAGCCTTCCTCAGAATTCACTCACAGACGAGGCTCCCGCCTGAGACTTCCTCCATATTCAGGCTTGAGGAGCCCAAAAGTGACGACAGTTACAGGGTTCCGATGACCCGCTCGGATTACCAACATGATCTGCGGGCCCCATAGGGAGGGAGCTCCCGCCTGAGACTTCCTCCCAATTCACTCACAGACGAGGCTCCCGCCTGAGACTTCCTCCATTTTCAGGCCTGGGGAGCCCAAAAGTGACGACAGTTACAGGGTTCCGATGACCCGCTCGGATTACCAACATGATCTGCGGGCCCCATAGGGAGGGGGCTCCCGCCTGAGACTTCCTCACACTTTACTCAACGATGATGAGGATGAGGATGATGAGTGGTGGTGAAGATGAGTGGTGAAGAGGATGATGATTGATTGTGGGTGGTGGTGGCGATGATGATGTTTGAATGAGGATGATGCCGATACCGATGATGACGATGATGTTCGTGAGCGTGTGAGAGAGTGCGAGTGATGATGATGTGTGTGTGTGTGTGTGAATGAGTGCGAGGAGAAGAGGGGGTGAGTGAGATCTCTCTCCTGCGCGGGGGTGTGCAGAGAAAACAAGAACCCCACTTTGGATGTGGGGAAAAACCCGAGTGGACCCCTCCCAAACAGCCATTACAGCCCATCTGGGCGCGGTATGCCCCCCCTGGAACCCCCCCTTAAAGGGCTTCGCCCCAGACACAACGTCATCAATCGTGCCTCGCTCTTTCCGTTATCTGCTGGAGCATCGCGAGGAAGCCGCCAGGCATGCCGACAGCCTCGAAGGCCAACCAAGTCCAGGCGTGCTGAAGCGAGGGGAAGGCGGCCGCGACGTCCCAGGGGGCCAAGACGGGCGCGGTGGACGCCAACCTCTGGTGTCCGAAAACAGGCGCAGCAGTATCAAGGTCAACGATGTTTTGCGCGAGCTGATGCCCAGCCAGAAACCCTTTCAAAATGCGTGCAACGTGTCGCGTACCACTGTGCCAAAAGAGCGCATTGAACACTCCGCAGATGGTCTTGTCGTCCGTGTTCTTCGTGCTCAAAGGCCTCGTCTCGTCGGGTCTGCGGATGGCGGCGCGCGCGTCGTCGTCCCGGGAACCCTTCGGAAGGGGGGGGCCGACTCCGACGCGTTGAACGCCATCGGCATCGGGGTGCCCGAGGCGAGGTGGTTGGCCACTTCGCACAGCGTTGCTGCGCCGTGCACGCCTGCCGCCGCCCAGCGAGAATAGGCCGGCCCATCGGGCGCGGGGCCCGAGTCAGCGACACTCGCAAGGTAGGCGGTGACATGATGGATGCCCCTCGGGGGGACGTCGCTCCAGCCAAACGGGGCCGCCCGGGCGCGCAGGCAACGGCGGGGGCCATCGATGTCAATTGGCTTCGCCACGAAGTGCGACGACCACGCAGTGGCGAGAGCGCGCTTGTCTTTGATGTCGGTGACCGTCGCGTCGCCGCCTAGTGGGTTCGGAATCGAGAGGCCGTCCAGAGCCATGCGCTTGCTGATCGGATTGACAGGCTTTGCCCGTGCCTGGAGTACGCGAGCCCCCCCCCCCATGCTTCCTGGCGGAGCTCGCCGAGTCCGGGGCGCCAGCGGCCGCAGAGAGGGCCTCGGCGGCCTCCGCCCCCAGCCGCGCGCGCTCGAGACGGTCGACAGTTGCCGCGCGAAGCGATGCGCATCTGGGAGGCGCGCCTGCCCCTCGGAGACGGCGACGAGTTCGTGACCCTCGTCGAAATGAGCCAGGGCGGCCGTGGCCAGGCGCGAATCGTCGCGCCACAACGCGCGCGCCAGAAAACCCATGGCGACGCGGCGAGCAGTCTGGAGGCACGGCGCAGAGTGGAAGATATGGCTCCTAACCAACCGCGCCGCCTCGCGCATGACATCTTTGCGGGTGGCCTAGCGCTCCACGACGGGCAACTCGCTGACGCGCAGGTCGCGGAAGAGGCGGTCGGCATGCGTCTTGAACAGCGGATGCTTGGCGATATGCTTGGGGGTGAGCTGTCCGTGCGATGGAATCGATGGACGTGGGCAGACCAAGACTGCGACGGCGGCGTGGTCGCCGATCTTCTGGTAGCGGAGCTTCTGCGGATCGTCGTGAAACGGCAGCTGGTAGCACGTGGAATTGATGGACCACGAGGGCGCTGTAGTCCCAGTCCGGTCGAGCTTCGAATACCGGCCACCAACAAAATGCGCAGGTTCCTAGGTGTCGAACACCACTCCCGGCACCCTCTTGCACAACCGATTGCGCGGGATAAACAACGACAACACAAACCTAGTCTTCAAGGGTAACCGCCGCTTGGAAACAACAACGACATCTCGGTTCAACCGGCAACCCCCCGCTTGCGAAATCTTGACAACGGCCGAAACTCGATTGATTGACCGCGCGTTCTATCTGGACGAAAAACTCAAAACACCGAACAAACCGAACAGTAAAATCGACAAAACGTAAACGAAGAAACGGATTTCATCTGAAATTAAAAGCGTACCTTTGCGATGCAGGGGCAATCTGTTCAAACAGCAATGGCAAGTGTGCTATGGGCACTAAAATTTCGGGATCAGATCCACTTTGCTTTAGCTTCAACGCGCGCGAACAGCGATGGTTTCAAACGCGATCCTTTCGCGCAAACGCCGCCATCGTGCAACCGCCGCGCAACAATGCCCTGAAGGGTCGAACGATGCCCACCAACAAAAATCGACAACGAAATCCTGGATCCGACGGTCACCCCAGTCCAGCAGCGACTGCCAGGACTGATGTGTCGAACGTCGTGCAGTTGCTCAAGAGGCGCTTCCAGGTGGAGACATGCTGGCTACTTCTGTGACGCCCGCGTGTAGTGGGGTCCCGGACGTAGCGAGTCACGTCGCGCGCATCCATATAGTTCCAATCGCCGCAAAATAAAACCACGCGCTCGGTCGGGTCGTGGTGCGCCCAATCAATATCCTGCGATGCGCTGCGCTTGATATCCGTGAGGCTCTGCCACAAAATGTCGAAATCGTGAACAGCCCAGAGGCGGAGTTCGCGAGAGCCAGCCGCAACCACCAGGCGGCAAACCCTTTTCGCTGCATGCGGCTGGCAGATCACCACCGAGGGCCCAGCAAACGCCTTCTGTGAGAATGATCAGTCTGCCGGAGCCCGGAGAGCCATCGGTGCCGTGGATGTGGAAGCGAGGCTTCAGGTTAGGCAACGCAGCTGCGAAAGCGGCGCGGGTACAATGCGTCTCGCAGATGGCGATGACCTTGGAGATGTTGGTGAGTTTGCGGAGGTAGACGAACTTGCGAACTCGATATTCCCTCCGGGAGACGAGGAAGCCCTGGGCCCTGGGCGCTCCAGAAAGGAAATTCTACCCCGCCGGGCGAGTCCCACGTCCTGCTGCCCGCCTTGCCAATCCAAAAAGTCTTCCCGCGGAGCCAACATTTCAATGAACTTCGCGCGCGCGTCAGCTGCGACGGTGTTGCAAATTTGGCAATTGACCAGCACGGTCTCCACCACCGCGGTGTCGGGATCGGGCGTGTTGATCCGGGCAACCGGGTGCTGATCAATGCTGACGATTGCCATGTCGCGGGCCAGTCGGGCTCTCTCGCGAAGCTCGGGATTCAAATCTTGAACAGTTCGTTTGAGACGACGGCCATGTGCTTCGAGCCAGTCCTGGTAGGGGGATTTGTCCGGACACAGGTGGACGCCACCGTCGGCTGTGTCCGTAGCGCTCCGGCAGGTGAGGCACTTCCACTCCCCGTCGACGCGCTGCGCGGCCAGGGCCTTGCGCACCAGCAGGGGGGCGGCGGGGCCGGTGAAGCGGATGGTGAAGCTGCGGCCAGCAGCATGTCCCGAGATGCTTGCGTGCTCCTGGGCACGAGCGGCAACGAGGTGCTCGTTGCAGGTTTCGAAGACGACGCCCTTCTTGGCGTACTCGCTGGTCCGCACGCGGATGATGTACGGGTCGATGTCACGCTTGCCTTCCAGTCGCTCGAACTCTGATGCCTCGGGTCACTCCGTCTTCTCTCCGATGGCGAGACGCTCGCACAGCTGGCCCGACAAGAAGTCGTGCTTCTTGACGAGGGTGCGGAGCTCGTCAAGCTCGGCGCGATCAGCCTGACGTTGTAGATCGATATCCTGGAGTCGCCGCTGGAGTCCTGCGTCATAATATTTGTGCAGTTTTCACCGAAAGCTTTGTTCTGATCTTTGGCGTGTTGTGATGACAGCTTCTGGGTCCGTTTGAGCGTGTCTTTATCGTGCTGCTCAAGAATCAAGTCGGACCCACAGCTTGAATGCCATCGGAAGCGGGGATCCTGCGCTAGCTCTTGGAGCGCCCCTCGCTCCCGGCACCGGCCATGACAGCAGCGCGCACCGCGTGACCAGCCCGATGAGGGCAGACATCGGGTTGCACTTGCAGAGGAAGCCGCGATGGCCTGAGGGGACAGACTGCCAGCCCACTGTGCCAGCGGGAGGGCGATCGCAGCAGCAGCGCGCCGCCGAGGGGGCCCCGCGCTTGCCGAGCAACTTGAGACAAAATGGCAACCGATCATGATGATGGTGGTGATGATTATGGTGATGATGCTGATGATGACCATGGTGTTGATGATGGTGCTGATGATGATATTGATGGTGATGGCGCTGATTATGGTGATGATGCTGATGATGATGATGATGATGATGATGATGATGATGATGATGGAGAAGAAGAATAATATTTTGATAGTGATGGTGGTGATGCTGATTATGGTGATGATGCTGATGACGATGATGGTGGTGATGAGAATGATGGTGATGATGATGCTGCTGCTGCTGATGATGACGATGACGATCACCGTTATTCACATCGCCATCATCATAGTCATCCTCGTCTTGGCAGCGCGCACAGAGGGATAGGGGTAGGGGGAGGGGGGAAGGCGTCTTAGAAGCACCCCTGCGTCTTAGAAGGCGCGGGCCTTGTCTATAGATGTAGGGCCAGCGCCCTCTAAAAAGCGGCCTCCTTCTAAGAAGCCTTCCCCCCTACCCCTACCCTACCCTGTGCGCGCCGCCAATCATCGTCAGCGTCATCGTCAGCGCCAGCGTCTCTCACAGGCCGACGGCTGGCCCGCGGCGGGGTGTCGCCGCCGCGCCAGCACCGACGCGAGCCGGCCGTGCCGCGGGCGGACAGTTGGCGCCCTCTGGTTGCCTGCTTCTCGTCCGCCGCGGCCTCTCCACCAGCGCCCCTGCTCCTCGGCGGCGCCCAGAGGGTGGGGGCGGGTAGGGGCAGGGGGGAGGCCTCCTCCTCCTCCTCCTCCTCCTACTAACGCTCCTCCTCCTCCTCCTCCTCCTCCTCCTCCTCCTCCTCCTCCTCCTCCTCCACCTCCTCCTACCAACGATCCTCCTCCCCTCCTCATCCTTCTCTTCCTCCTCCTCCTCCTCCTCCTCCTCCTCCTCCTCTTCTTAACGCTCCTCCTCTTCCTCCTCCTCCTCCTCCTCCTCCTCCTCCTCGTCTCCCCCCTGCCGAGCAGATGGGGAATAGGGGAAGGCTTGTTAGGAAGAGGCTGTTTCTCAGAAGGCGCCGGCCTTACGTCTATAGATAAGGCCCGCGCCTTTCTAAGAAGCAGCCTCCTTCTGAGAAGCCTTCCACCCTCCCCCTGACCCCCCCTGCGCGTGGCCGATCCTCGGCGGCGGGGGGGCGGGGGCACATGTAGGTGGCGACATCCGAGCCCTACCCCCAGCAGCCCCAACCATCGATTCTCCTGAATCGATGGAAGGCGGGTGTGCAGTTCGGATTTCACCAGGTGGTCGACGACTTCAGAGCCCTACCCCCACCGCCCATCGAGTTGCCTGAATCGTTGATCGGCGAGGGCAGGGTTCGGCTTTCGCCTCCGAGCATGTTGGAACAATGCATCCATACCTTTGCATGGACATGATCAGTAGTCAGGGTGGCACAGAAGAGCCCCGTAAAGCGCGGAACGTCAGCCCGATACTGACAAACTACTTGAATCAAAATGCTTTCATCGTCCAGATTGATTTTCTGAGATTTACCGGAATCGATCCGCGAAACCGGGTCGGGTCGAAAAACGGACCGGGACCAGGCCGCCCGCGAACCGCCCCGGATCGGACCGAGGTCGGATCGCCGCGCCTGGCCCCGGCTGGCCCCGGCTGATGCCAACGAGTCGAGCCGAATCGAATCGAGGTCGGTGGCCCCGGCCAGTGAATCACATCGCCTCGGGTCGGATCGTGGAGGCGGGCCTCTTGCAGAATGGGAGGCGTCTGAGATTGGAAGCTCGCTGGGGGCGATCCTTAGGGCTTCGCGGCAGACCCCCCTGACCGAGGGAAAATCCACACCGACGGAAACGAAAAGCCGAAGGACACGTGAGCGTTTTCTTATTCGGCGTTTCGACATTGGGCGGAAAGGGGGGGGGAGGGGGGTGGGGTCTGGCTCCGGACCTCTGCTTGGTGCGGCGGTTTGGAGCAGTGCGTCCTTTGAGGGGAGGCTCCATCTGCCTGAAACAGGCGCCCAAAACAGCCAAGATCTACTCCAGGGGGGCGAGGGGGGGAAGGTGCGAGGGCCCGCGCCGATCGGCAAAACAATGAATAAAAAAACGATCACCACTGTGCTTCCACTCGCACGCACACACCACACAAAAAGGCGCCTGGGGCGCCTGCGGCGCTGCAGACGAGAGGGTCTGCTGACTCTCACCTAGTCCTCCTGGCTGTAGTTCGCTAGAAGTGTTTGAGTCAAGCCTAGCATTGGGCACGCACGCGTGTAGTTAAGGCTGAAATTCCAATTACGCCTGATTGCAGCCGACCTGATCTAGTTGACCTGATTTCAGCTGCGCCTTGATTTTGGTTTTACCTGGTCGTAGCTGGGCCTGGCCTGATTCTTGTTGCGCGAGCATTTAAGCTTACCTTTGTTTAAGCCTATCTTAGTTGTGCCTGGGGGTCTGAATTTAGCCTGGTTGCAGCTGCACAAGCGTTTCATTACGCCTATTTACCAAGGCCTATGCTTGTTCGGCCACGTGATTTCGTTAGGTTTGCTTGTAGCTGGACTTGGCCTGGTCTGATTCCAGCCGTACAAGCGTTTGGTTACGCCTACTTTAGTTCGGCCTGGCGCTTTTAGCTAGGCTTGGCTGTAGCTGGGCCTGGCCTGATTCCAAGTGCGCGAGCATCTAGTTCACTTTATTTTAGTTAAGCCTATTTTAATCAGGCCTGGTGCTTTAGTGAAGCCTGGCTGTGGCTGGGCCTGGCCTGATTCCAGCTGCAAGCGCATGCTGTTGAGCCTATTTGAGTAAACCTATTTTAGTTCGGCATGGTGCTTAGTTACGCCTGGTTGTGGCTGGGCCTGGCCTGATTCCAGCTGCGCAAGTTTTGATTAAGCCCATTGTAATTCGAACTAGTTTAGTTAGGCCTGTTGCTTTAGTCAGGCCTGATCGTAGACAGGCCCAGGCCTGGCCCGATTCCAGCTACACGCTCATTCAGTTGAGCCTATTTAGATAAGGTGTATTGTAATTCGGCCTGGTGCTTTTGTTTGGCCCGGTTGTAGCTGTGCCTGACCTGCTTCTAGCTGCGCAAGCATTCAGTTAAGCAGATCTTAATTACACACTTATAATAAGGCCTGATGTTTTTAGTCATGCCTTGTCGTAGCTGGGCATGGCCTGATTCCAGCTGCGCGCGCAATTGATTAAATAAGCCAATGTTCGTTCGGCCCGGCGCTCTAGCTAGGTCTGGTTGTAGCTGGGCCAGGCCTGATTCCAGCTGCAAGCGCATTCAGTTACGCCTATTCTAGCTGAGCCTATTTTAAACCTGCCTGGTGCTTTGGTTAGGCCTGGTTCTGGCTGGGCCTGGCCTGATTCCAGCTGCGCGAGCATCTACTTAGGCTTATCTTTTATTTCGGCCTAGTTAGGCCTGGCTGCAGCTGGGCCTGGCCTGATTCCAGCTGCGCGAGCACTTAGGTGAAGCCAATATTAGTTAAGCCTCTTTTGATTAGGACTGGTGCTTTAGCTAGGCCTGCTTGTAGCTGGGCCTGGCCTGATTCTAGCCTGGCCTGGCCTGGTAGATTGTAGTTGGACAAGTTTGAAAATGGCCTGTTGCTTTAGCTCGGACTGGTTGTAGCTGTGCCTAGCCTGATTCCCGCTGCGCGAACATGTACTTAAACCTATGTCAGTCAGATCTATGTTAATTAGGCATGTTGTTTTGGTTAGGCCGGCTAGTGGCAACGATGCGGGGACGAGTTCAGGGGGCAAACACTGACCTGGAATCGGCGATGCATCGCCGATAGGTCGGCGATAGGCTCTCGACGGCGAAGCCGCACGTTCCTGGGACGTGTGGGCCATCAGGCCCCTATCGGCGATGGACAGGCGATTGCGGGTCGACGCCTTCGCCCCTGAGCCTTTCCCGCCCCTAACGCTGCCCCTGACTGTCTTCTTCGAGGGACCCCCTCCCTCTGGTGACAGCGACCGCGCTGTATTTATTCTGGTTATTCTTAGGCGTCGCCGCTGGTGCTGGTTGAGAAACCCGTGCCCAATGGCACCGCCAGGCGGACGCTAATATGGATAGCCGAGACGGCTTGACCGCCTCCCGCCTTCACGGCGAGCACCCCCCCCCCCCCCCACACCCGCCGCGCGCCCCCAGGCTCCTGCTGCGGCGGGGCCTGCCGAGGGAGGTCCGAGGGAGGTCGACGAAGGGGGAGGCCTCCTCCTCTCCCCCCCAGGGGGGGGGGAACCTCCTCCTCCCCCGCCCTTTCCCTCCTCCTCCTCCTCCTCCTCCTCCTCCTCCTCCTCCTCCTCCTCCTCCCCCTCCCCCTCCTCCTCCTCCTCCTCCTCCTCCTCCTCCTCCTCCTCCCCTCCTCCTCCTCCTCCTCCTCCTCCTCCTCCTCCTCCTCCCCCTCCTCCTCCCCCTCCCCGCCCACCTCCCCATCCGCGTCGGCTCGGACGGGGAGACAGCTCGGGCTGGACGTAAGGGGGGGGGATAGCAAAGGGAGGTTGGCGAATCGGCACGCGTAGCTGATTTCCCCGCGCCTCCTGGCGCCGGAAGCGCTGATGCCTCAAGGAATGCACCCAGCGGCGGGGCCGAGACCAGCTGCACGCAGCAGATTTTGTAATTACTCCCCCCTTTTCCCTATCCTGCCCTGCCATCCGACCCTGGAATGAGCGACACACGGCCGACAGATAGGCGGTTGGGCCCGAACGTGGGCGGGGGGGAGGGGGCGGGCCCCGATCTCAGGCAGCACCGAAAGGTGGTCACCACTAGGGTGGTCGCCGACTCCTCCAGGAAGGAGACCCCCCCTGGACTCCAACGGGCGCCCCAGAACGTCCAAAACCTCCTGAATATTCGACCCTCCCCTCTTCCTCGATCTCCGATCTCCGCAAGGCGGCGGCTCCCCTTAGCACTCACTGCCCTGCGATCGGCGATGAGTGAGCGACTGTGGGGCGATGCTCCCTCCCGAGCCGGCTCCCAAAATATTCTCGCCGTCTGGCCTTCGGAAAAAAATCGTGCCTCCCGCGGCCATTCGGGACGCTGCGGGGGCCCCCGGAACTCTCTCGGCGAGGTGAAACTGCTGGAAGGCATCCCGAGGCGGGACGCATGGAATTATAAGAAGCTTTCATTGACGCCTGGGAGTCGCGCTTGCTACGGCACGCATCCTATTCGTCAGGTCCCTTGTGAGTGCTGGGGCCTGGGGGCTCTGACGGTGAAGGTGGCTGACCAATAGAGCCAGGGTGGCTCGCTTACTGTCCCATTGGACGCATGGGGGAAACCCGGAAAGCGGGATAGAATCGCCGCACACGGTAGTGAGGAATTCCTGACAGCTCGCTGCGGGCCAGGCCCTGGGGTCAGCGGGTGCACCCATGCCTCTCCAGGGCCTGCGGAGAGAAGAGGACGCGTTCTCCGCCGCCCAGGCCCTCCACCGCTCGTCTATCGATGGAGACGCCGAGCGGGCAAACGCCACCATAATGTGCTGTGCGCGATCGTATTGTTCGCCTTCCCGTGCATGGGGTCAGGAGGGATGTGCCTGCCTGCCTCTAGAGTCGCAATGTCCCGTACCTTAAGGCGGGGGCAGGTCGGTGGATCGACACTGGGGAGTCCGTCCAGGAGGCTGGCGGGAGGCCGCGCAGGCGGCGCTGACCGCCTCGCCGAGGCGTCGCCACCTGTCCTCCGAAGAGCACCTCCACAAGCACCCCTAAGGTTGAGGGGCTAGGGCGACACCAGCGATCCTTCTTGCTTCCTCCCCCTGCCATTGCTACCCCGTCTTTTTCTCGGCCATCATGCTACCCCGCGTTTGTTTCCCTTTCCCAGCTCACCCCGCTACCCCTACCACCTGTTGGAAGACCAGGGCGCGGGCATCCCAGCCCCCATCCAATGGCGCCATGCGCTATTCCTCCCGCTTGCTGTGACCAACGTGACTTGGGAGCCCCAGGTCCCCAACCACCCCTCCTTTGCCCCGGGGCCCTCCCTTCGCCCAGATCGGCTGAAGACCCCCAGGAGCATCAACAAAAACAGCCGCCCAAGGTGGCTACGTTTTGGGCCCCCTTTTGACACCGCCTAATTCTGACCAGTTTCGTTGGGCGCCACCACGGGAGAGGAGGTTGAGTGGGGTCGCCCCCGGAACCCGGATTTCACGGTGTTTCCGTCGTCTCGGTCGCCCCTCAGTTGCCTCTAACTGTCGGGTGCGTATGCCGAGCGGTGTGCACCACATCCAGCAGTCATTGTGCACGTATCTGCCACCGTCGGCACGCAGACCATCCCTCCCGACACTATGCCATCTGCCCTTCCTACCCGGCGTCCCGCCCAATCACAGAACCTCTCTCTTTTTCTGTTCTCTCTCTCTCTCTCTTTTTTGGTCTCTCTCTCTCTCTCTCTATTTGTTCTCTCTCTCTCTCTCTCTCTCCCTCTCTCTCCCTGATATTGCCCTGTTGTTGCACCCCGCAGCTTCTATGACGTATCCCACTTTTGGGGCAAATCCACCCTAGTAAGATTGACATGCAGCTCGGGGGCAAAATCCTCACCAAGATCGATCCGCCGCTCGCCAGATCCTCTTCCCAGTTCCCTGTTCCCTTCTGTCCCTCTGCCTGCGCCCTCCCCAAACGCTTGTTGCCTCCAGCTCCCACCCCTTTTGCCGTTCTCCCTCTTGCTCTTGCTGCCAAGCTACCCGCCCAATCCTCCTCACACGGTCCAGGTGCCATACCGGGCCCCCGAAACGCGAGGGATGTCGACAGAAACCGTCTGTGACCCAAACGAGCCCTTCGGCAGGCCACTTGAATTCACCAGCAGGATTTTTGTTAAGACCCTTTCTGTAAAGCTGCATGGTCAGTAGACCCCTCCGCAGGCCACGTGAACTCTTCAGCAAAACAGAGGGCCCCTCCACAGGCCACTTGAATTCGCCAGCTGGGTGTCGTAAGACCTTTTCTGTCAAACGGCATGGCCAGGATCAGTGGGGCCAACAGATCCACGTCGCACAGAGGGGGCCTGCCCCAGACTCGGACATGAGCACAGATGTTTGGAGGCCAATCTAGCGCACGTTGCGAATTCAATTGACGAATTCTCAATGCGACTGGGGACCCATTCTGACCGCTCCCTGCGAGGAGCGATATGGGGACCCTCGAGATACAGTAGAGATTATCTTCGGTACCGCACGCTTGGCTCACTAACTTGAACAAGGTTTCCAATGCTCGTTAACAGCCTTGCCGATGAAACCTTGAGCCGAGAATGGGCTGGCATTCCCCATAACACGCGTCTTACATTTTCCGCTGCCTCCAGGCGCGCGCCGAACTCGCGCCACTTGATTGATCAGGCGCCCTTTTCTTGGTCAAGCGCCCTTTCCTTTGGCTGGGCGCCCTTCTGTCACCTAGCGCCCCTTTTTTGGTCAGGCGCCCTGTTCTCCGTCGGGCGACACTTCCTTGGTCAGGCGCCCTTCTATCGCCATGCTTCAGGCTAATACATTTCTAGGCTGTGTAGGCGGTTATACTTCATCGCGTCTCTTGCTACTTCTACACAGTGCTACGCACAGTCTCGATTCATGCTTCAGGCTACCCGCACCATTGGGCAGAAGAGCTGCGCGAGAGTGGGATCAGCGGGGATGAGCTCCTTATCCCCGCCCCGCCACGCAGGCGGGAGAAATTCTATCGTCATTACGTCTTGTCTTGCTGTCGCTTACTTTGCTCTCTCCCTTACTTCCCTTTTCTTTTTCTCTCTCTCTCTCTCTCTCTCTCTCTCCCTCTTCTCGCCCCCCCTTTCCCTTTCCTGTCCGCTCCCTCCCCGTTCCTTCCTCTCAGGCATCTCCTGCCTCTTGCTTCCATGCCCGATGTCCCATCATCCTCGACCATCGGGCTACCCCATTGATTGGCACCCAACTGCGCGGTTCAATGTTGAGAGCCCGCTGATCCCAATGCCGCTGACATTCCATTTGTCGGGCCTCTCGTCCATCTTGAATTCGGTCGCAACGGTTGTGACCCTAGGCCCACCCCTGCTTCCCATCGAACCTGACGGGAATCTCACCAGGCACGGCCCGCCCCCGCCACCTCGAGAAGGCATGTCACGGCGCACCGTCTCCGTGAGCAATGCCGCGCTGTGTGCGTGGTTCGCCCATGCATCCGCCCATGGAATGCCGTTCAGGGCCGCTCAACGCTCACGCTTGTGCGCGTGTGGTTCGCCCATGGGTCCGGCCATGGAATGCCCTTCAGGGCCACTCAAGAAGCCGTCCAACACTCACCTTTGTGTGTGTGGCTCGCACATGGGTCCGTCCATGGATTGCCCTTCAGGGCCGTTCAACTCTCAAACCAAGATACAAGGGTGATGGCCGGGCGAGATAGCTTGCACCACGCTCTCACCCGCACCTTGTGCGCCTTCATGTAGCTATACAGCCTCAAAACGGATGTCCAACTTTCGCGCCCACTGCCCCGTGCCATTCTCTCGCCGCTACTTCTCTGGTAGCCCGGACATCGGGAAACCAATTCTTGTGTCCAACCAACCTCTCGGCTCACAGGCGGGAAGTTGCGCGTGTCCCTGTACCCCTGCTCTTTATTTCATCGCCCCCAACTTATCGTACATTCTCGCTTCGGTCTTCGCTGTCTGATTCGTGCTTCCTGCTGCTGCTTCGACCTCTCTTTCTCTTTCTCTCTCTCTCTCTCTCTGTCTCTTTCGCTCTGCCGCTCTCCCTCTCTCTCTCTCTCACTTTCTCGCTCTCTCTCTCTCTCTCGCGCCCTCTTGTCTTGATATCCCTCTCTCGTTTTCTTTTTCCCCCCTCTCTCTTATTGCTTATCCCTCTCACTCCTTCTCCTTCTCTCTCTCTCTCTCGCACTGCCCCCGTTTGCCGCTTTATCCCCCATCGCACTGCTCTCCGCTGCCCGATATCCCACCTGCCTTTCCACCCCAGGTTCTCGCTGGAGACCCCAGCGCAGTAGCCCAACTTACGACCCTGTCATGGCCATTGCTTGCCCGAACAGGCAAACCCACGCCCAACGGGTCCAATCACCTTCTTCAGTTGTCTCTCGGGAGGTGGCCGCCTTTTCTGCCCCCTCGGATAGGAGCAGCACGCAGGCCCTCTGGGTTGGTGGCCGCCACTTCTATCCCTCCAGTCAGGGGTATCAGACACCGCCGAGGAGTAGCGCTCTTCACGGCACCACCTCATACAGGGACCAACCACCCCTAAGGTTGTGTTTTCCACCAAAATCCTCCTCCTTCTCCTCCTCCTCCTCCTCCTCCTTCTCCTCCTCCTCCTGATCCTCCGCCTCCTCCTCCACCTCCTCCTCCTCATCCACCTCTTCCTCCCAGTCACACATGAGGCCTGTTTCTGCTTTCGTCGTCAATAGATCAGCAATTCATATCGGGTGGTCTACATTCTCTCGTCGAACTGTGCGTGCTCGCCTTTTCCCGCCTCTTTGGCCTCCCCTGGTTTCCTGCTTCGGCGCGTTCTGACGTTTTGGCCTGCTGCTGATGCTGCTGCTGCTGCTGCTGCTGCTGCACTTCCTCCTCCTCCTGCTCCTGCTCCTGCTCCTCCGTCCTCCTCTTGCTCCTGCTCCTGCTCCTGCTCCTCCTCCTCCTCCTCCTCCTCCTCTCCTGCTCTCCTCCTCCTCCTCCTCCTTTTCCGCCTCCTTTCCCTCCTCCTCCTCCTCCTCCCTCCTCCTCCTCCTCCTCCTCCTCCTCCTCCCGATCCTCCTGATTATCCTGCTCCTCCTCCTGCTCCTCCCTCCTCCTTTCCTCCTTTCCCTCCTCCTTTTCCGCCTCCTTTCTCCTCCTCCCTCCTCCTCCTCCTCCTCCTCCTCCTCCTCTCCTCCTCCTCCTCCTCCTGTCCTCTCCTCGCTCGTGTTCTCGCCCTCCTCCTCCTCCTCCTTCGCCTCCTCATCTTCCTCGTCCTCCTCCTCGTCCTCCTCCTCCTCCTCCTCCTCCTCCTTCGCCTCCCCGTCGTCCTCGGCCTCGTCGTCGTCGTGGACCTGCGGCCCTCCGGCTCCGGGCTCTGGCTGCAGGCGCTGACGGCCGGCCGCCGCGCAGCGCCCCTGGCGGGCCCCGCGGCCGGCGCGCCGCGGCCCGGCCGCGGGCCGATCATGGCCCCGCGGGCGCCCCAGCCGCGGCCCTGCCCGCGAAGCAGGAGGCCCTGGCCCTGCCCGCGAGCAGGAGGAGGAGGAGGAGGAGGAGGAGGAGGAGGAGGAGGAAGAGGAGGAGGAGGAGGAGGAGGAGGAGGAGGAGGAGGAGGAGAAGGAGGAGGAGGAGCGCAGCGCCTCTCGAGCGTCTCCCGCCGGCCGCGCTGGCGCGCGCCCGACGGACTACGTCGAGGCGCCCTCACGCCACGATGGCAGAGAGGGCAAGGTTGAAGAAAAAGGGGAGGAAGACCCACACGCAGAGAAAGAGGGTCAGGGGCGCGACGACGCAGGCCAACATGCCGTCGACGAAGCAGGCGCCGCCGCCGAAGAAGACGCCGTGCCACTAGCCGACCACGGAACGGCAGCGAATCACGACATGGTCGATCATCGCGCCGTGTGGCTGCGAGAGGGGCCACCCTGCGGGAGCTGCGCTGCTGGGGTACGTCGGGCACGAGGCGCCAGGCCCTTCTCGACGCGCCTGATCGCATCTTGCTGGTTGCGGCGCGTGGACTCGTTGGGCGAGAGCCCTTCGCACCTCAAGCCAAGCTTCCGCACTGCGCGGACATCGCCCGCAGCGCAGTGAGACCCGCAGCGTCTGCAACAGTAGACATTGTTGCCCCTTGAACACGTCGTGCCCAAGCGCGGCGAAGGCGCCCCCTGCCTCCTCGGCCAGGGCACGTGGCACCAAAGCTGCGGGAGTCGAGGGCTGCGAGCTCCCATCGAGCGCCAAGGCCGCGCCCAGGGCCATGCCAGCCCGTTGGTCGCTGCAGAGGACCCAACCCTCGCCGAAGGTGCGGAAGTACTCGGCGTTGAGAACTCTGGCAACACGCGAAGGCCGACGTACACGATGAGAGCCAGTTTGCAGCGAATCGAGGGGGGAGCCTGTTGTGGCCGTGACTCCGCATTGGGTACATCGGTACTGCCCGAGGCTGGCACAGTAAGCAAGGGCATGGTCCGTGCTTCGTGCCACCACAATGGGCCTGGACTGCTCGCAAGGTGGCCTGGGGACCTCCACGTCGCACCCCCATTGTTTGCGAGCCACCGCCTGCAGTGCCGCCCACGAAATGAACTGCAGGACCTTGCGGTGCTGTTTCAGCGCAGCAGTTGCCGCCTCGGCAACCGACCCAGCCAGCGCGCGAGAGGCCGCTCCACAGCGCGCGAAGTAGTCTGCCCAGCCATTGCCTAGCCACGCAGGTCCTGCGGATCTGTGCCCAGAAGCTCCTCCAAGGACCTGTGCGCAGGCGTCCGTCGGAACAGGAAGGGTCCCGCAGAGTGCGTCTGCGGCTGGCCACGAAGATGTCCCGCCACGCTCTAGCAGGCTCGGCAAGACCCTGCTCGAGCTCGGGGCGCCAGCGCTCTCCTTCCTGGGCGAGCGCCAGCAGGTCAGTGACGAAGCACTGGTGGTCAGGGAAAGCGTCGAACCCCTCCCTGATCGCGTACCTCTGAGCACGGCCAACAGTCTGCGCCAAGCACGGAAAAAGGGCTCGAGACGCGCCCTAACTGGGAGCCAAGAATAAGGATCAAGCTGCACAACGGCTTGTCCACACCTCCGCACCTCGGGAACACCTGAGTCGTAGCCAGACCCGTCGGTGTAAGAAACGGGGCCCCAAACGCCATTGGCGTCGCCCCAAAGGCAGACATCATGCCTCCGCGTGCCTGCGCGTGGCAGATAGGCAGGAGGCTCGGGCGTGCCGAGGTAGGACTGCTCGAAATTCGGCGCGCCTGGTCCAAGACCCGCTTGGACAAGTTGGTCGCGCACCTCAGCCAGAACTTGGGGGAGTTGGAAGACACCACGGCCATTCAGCGCTGGCGCTGCTGTCTCGGGCCCGCCATGCCCGCGCGACGCAGCGGGCACCGAGGCTGGAGCCGCCGCCGCAGGGGGCAACGGGTCACTCTGTTCCGAAGCAACCGGTTGCGTACAGAGGACACTCTGCGCGTCTAGCCGCGCCTCGTCCTGATGGCCGTCGTACCCATCGGGCGGCCCAAAATCGACCTCTTCGTCAACCCCTTGCCCGACGCCTGGAAAGCATTCGTCCTCGGCCCCCATGGTGCTGTCGTGCTGGGCGCAGGTGCTGGACGGTAGGGCCGGGTCGGCCCGGCTCTGGAGGTGGTCGCGAGTCTGCTGGCGCAAGTCGCCTAGACCCTGCTGTATTTCAGGGGCCTTGGACATGGTCCCAGGCCTTGGACACGGTCCGTCGGCCCCTGCTCCATGGGTCGCATTTCCCCTTCGGGGGGCGGGCCAGCAGCGCGGGGCATTCCAGGAAGACATGGCCCCATCATTCATCGGGAGCAAGGGCCTTCCCGCAAGCCTGACAAGGACGCACGGGCATGCCGAGCTTCATGTCCCTGCGGGTCGGCATGGGTATGTTGGCAGACCAGAGCGTCTGCAACGCTCCCAGCTGTCTTGCGGCGCGGACACCCATGACCGCATGCCTGAGCCCACGGTGCCAGACAGGCGCGCCAGCGTGGGAGTACATGTGGCTGGTGGGGCGGCCATGCTGCCAGCGCTGCACGCCCTGCACCAAGAAAGGTCGCAGGTCAGCAGGGCACACGCGGTGCAGGTCACACTGGTTACCTGGTTGCCCAAGTCGCCCTGCAAAATGTGCGGCGCTTTCATGTCCCAGGCTAGCCGCCTGAACGTCAACCGCGTCGCGGCCAGGAGGCCCGTGGCATTGGCCCAACTGATTGCGACAGCCCGCTCATGGAGCGCTGTCCAAGCCCTCTTGAAGGCGGCTAGGTGACGTGCGCCCATCCCAAATCCAAGCGGCGTAGTTCAATGCCAGCCAGGTCCAGCGCGGCATGATAGATGGGATCGTACTCCTCCGAAGGGTGAGTAAGGAGGTATGCCGTGACGCCCACATGGCGTTTGTCACTGCGCCCGTTTAGTACCGCGGCCAAGTTGCGCATCTCGCGTAGGGGCGCGCCCGCCAATCCCGACGCCCCAGCCCCGCGCCCTGCGGACGGCATGGGCCCAGTCCGCCACAAGGTGGAGGCCTTGCGCCCTACCGCGCGACGCAGCATGAGGAGTCGGTGCTTGCGCTCCCGCGCGGCCTTCAGGCGCTTCTTCTCAACCTTCCTTAGCACTCGAGGGGCCAAGGTTGCGCATCTGCCGGGCTTGGGGCACCGCCCGAGGCTTTCGCCGCTGGACTCTGCGCACCAGAAGGCGGGCCTGCGCTGACCCAGCCACAACCGCGGACTTAGCAGGTTGTAGAATAAGCCCGAGGTCCCTGGCCTCGGCAGTGAGCACCATCGCAGTGCGCAGCAGCAGCTTCACATCACCGAAGCCGGGGGAGACCATCTGCAGGCCGATATCGTCCACCAGCGAACGTGGCTTGATGGTCGGCGCCACTGTTGGCCCGCTGGAGGACATGGTACGTCAGCAAATAGATGAGGTAGGTGGCATGTGTGCACCCCGCCAGCACCCCCTGAAAGGCGACGAAGGAGCACGAAAGGCTGCCGTAAGCCTTGATGCACCGTGGCTGCTGGTAGAGCTGCAGCAGCAGCCATCACAGGCGTATCGGGTAACCCAGCTCCCGTGCCTCCCGCATGAGCGCATGGGGGCTCACCATGTCAAAACAGGTCACCATGTCAAGGACAAGGAGGATGGTGCATGTGTGGTCGCCTATGAGGCTTCCCACCGTTTGCTCCAGGTTGTGAGCGAAAGCCGAGGCCGTGGATGTGTGGCTGCCTCGAATACCCCACATATCGTCGCAATTATGCCGTCGTTGCCACTCTGCCGACAGCCATCGGCGTGCTTTCGCCCAAACTCGTATGAGAGTATGGCTAAGCACAATCAGCCTGTGGCCACCATCTGGCTTAGGGAGACGGACCATCTCACTATACCGACGGCCACAGGGAAACCGTAAGTGCTGCTCGAAAACCTCGAACATCTGGGCCAACCTCCTGAGAGCCTCATCTGATAAGTGCTCAAGCGCCTTCGGTGGAATGCGGGTGGGCCCCGAGGCGGTGACTAGAGAGAAAGATCGGATGGCCTGCCGTAGGTCATGGACCGTCAGGCTAGGCAGCTCCTCCCAAGTAGGTGCATCCGTGGGTAGAGGCAGCTCTTCCAGCCCATGGGTCGCCCAGATCCGCTTCCACTCGCACATGGTGCGGTCCGCGAGGATGTATGGCTGGGCATCGGCCTCAGGGGCAACGAGCTCTTGCTGCGCCCTGACCTTTGATGCAGCATGGGCAGCCTTCGCTCCCCCATTGAAGGCCGCCTGAGCCCAGCTGCGCCAGGCTCTCTCCGACGCGCCGCGAGCCGCGGCAGTGAGTTCCTCCGCACGGCCCACGATGGCATCTACCATGTCATCAAAATCCTCCGCAATCAGTCCGTCCAGCCCGCGCAAGAAGAACTGGCGGTAGCAGGGGTCGAGATTGGTGAGGACTTTGTCCTGCCGGACAATGGTGCTCAGGAAGCAGAGGATGTCGTAGAAGACACTGGCAGTCTTCTGCAGCTGCCTGGGAGCAGGAGACGCATACGCCTCTACCGCATTCAACCGGTGACAAAACCGCTGGACCCGATCACGCTCGGAACGAAGGTGAGGACGAGGAGGAGGAGGAGGAGGAAGAAAAGGAGGAGGAGGAGGCGGAGGAGGAGGAGAGGAGGAGGCGGAGGAGGAGAGGAGGAGGAGATGATGATGATGAGGAGGAGGAGAGGAGGAGAAGGAGGGGAGAGGAGGACGAGGAGGAGGAGGAGGGAGGAGGAGGAGGAGGAGGAGGAGGAGGAGGAGGAATAGGAGGAGGAGCAGGAGGAGGAGAAGGAGGAGTTAGGAGGAGAGTAGAAGTAGGGGAGGGAGGCGAAGGACGAGGAAGAGAGGAGGAGGAGGAGGAGGAGGAGGAAGAGAAGGAGGAGGAGGAGGAGGAG